CATGGAAGGAAAGTGTTTAATGACCTCAGATTTTAGGAGTGGGGCAATCACTACAATCTGAAAAAGACATTTTTGAGCTTCTGACTTTACCTGCAAAATCTAACAGGACAGATTAATAATTTTTAAACAAATAAACCAAAGCACAGAGAAAGTACTAAGGCATGTCTGAATAAGCATCGACTATTCTAGTTTCATAAATGAGTTTGATTCTGCTATTTGGAGCTTATTGAAATACCTTCTGAACCTTTGAGTCACATGTACAATTGTAAATAAGGGGTTAAAGTAGGTGCATTTTGGACAGAAGGGGTATTTTCTTCTCAGAAAACTATTAGATGTTGGGCTTCCCTGGTGGTACAGGGGTTAAAGACAGCGCTATCAAGCTATCGCCAGCCACTGTAGCTGGAGTTTGAGTTCGATGGATCCCTGGCCAGTGAGCTACCCACATGGTACAGCAGATCTTTCCTGTCTCACCCACTGCTCCCCTCAGTAGTGTATTTCAGTAGATTTACCTGTTCTGCTCCCCCACTCTCTCTGGTGAATCCTCTCACCCCTCCACCTCTGAATTACACACCTGTTCTTATATGCATAAATAAATGAATCTTTAAAAAAAGGAAAAAAAGAAAAACTGTCAGATGTTGGCCCAACACAGCAAGATTGCCAGGTGGGAGAAGTTCAAGCTGCAAACAGGTGGGCAATGTCAGGATATGAGAAGAGACTGTTTTTCTACATCGACAGTGTTCGTCCTGAGTAGTTTAGCCTCACTTTGAGGAAGCAGGGACAGCAGGTGACCCCAGACATGGAATAACTTGTGCAACCAGTGACTGTTATTTTTCCTTTTTTCCTAAGGCAGTTGTCCTGGTGTGTGGCTCTGAGTCTGCCTGGTTCTAAGATTGCTGCTGGTACTGGCCTTCCCTGGCAGCGTAGAAGTCATCCAGGAAGCTCTGTAAATAATCGAACATTGGCCTCTCAGTTGCCTTTTCTTTCCAGAACATTTTCATGATGTCACAGAGTTCATCTGGGCAGTTTTCCATGCAGGGCATCCTGAAACCCTGCGATGGGGTGGTCATCACGTCGGCATTGGTGTTCCCTGGGTAGGGAATTTTCCCATAAGTGATGATTTCATACTGGAGAACCCCAAAGAACCACTTATTAGACTTAATAGTGAAATATCCAGAATTGATGGCTCTGAAACTGTCCACTTCATGGGGAATTCAGCACCTTCCCCTGCTGTGCACTCGCTGTCTTCAATTACTCGAGCAAGACCAAAAGCGGCAATTTTTCCTGTGAGTGATCCAGAAACCAAGACATTAGCTGTTTGTAGGTCTCGGTGATGTAGCTCTTCTTCTCCGTGTATGTCACACCCTCAGTGACCTGAGCAGAAAAGTCAATAAACAAAGCAGCACTTGTCCCCTTCATCGCTCTCAGGAAATCCGGCACACGGCCGCTAGCTGTGGACTCAGTGATGATGAGGGGCTCCTCTTTGGTGACCACTGAGCAGAGCCTCACAAGCTAGTCATGGTGGAGAGTCTTAGAGAGGCTTGCTCCCTCCGGAAAGCTGGCACAGACATAGTGCCTCAATTCAGGGTTCTCGTGGTACAAAGTACACAGTACTTTAGTACTATTGTTATAGTAACCCATCCAGACTTCCCCAAACTGCCCCACATCAAGTCTTTTCATGGACTCTCATGGGATCCCATAGCTTTTGTAGTTTGGGACTAGTACATGCCTTCCCCTATCTTCTGGACAAGGGTTCTGACTACTTTTGGTAATCATGTCACTGATACAGGAAAAGTGATTCGTGGAGAGATGTAATAATCCCCGTTGTCCAGACTTCTCATTTTGTTGTGCTTAATAACATCACTATGCACAGGGCCACAGAGAGAAACTTCCTTTTCATGTTTCGCTTTCTCTGATAAGGCTCCAGCATGGTTCCCTGGCCCCAAAATCTTCCTTTCTGCCCCTTTCCTGGTTTTCTACTGTTCTCCATGCTTCTCCAGGACTTTCACTTCTTTCCTTTCTCCCCCCTCCTTTTTTATGTTTTTTTTTTTTTTTAAGATTCATTTATTTATACAAGCACTGGGTACAGGCCAGAGGCGCGGGAGGGTGAGAAAATTCACTAGAGGCAGAGCAGAGAGCAGAACAGGCAGAAGGACCGAAGTACGCTGAGGGGAGCAGTGGGCAAGATAGGAGAGGTCTGCTGCACCATGTGGGTATCTCCCCGGCTGGCTGGGAATCAAACAGGCCCTGCAGAGGCTGCGGCAAACAGCTTCACAGCACTGCACTCAACCCACTGCGCCACTGGGGAGGCCCTCCACTCCCCTTTTTAAAAGAATACATACATTTTTTTAAAGATTTATTTATGCATACAAGAACTGGGGTGTAGGCCAGAGGTGTAGGGGGTAAGGTGGGGGTGGGGTGGGGTGAGAGGATTCACCAGAGACAGAGTGGGGAGCACAACAGGCAGATCTACTGAAATACACTGCTGAGGGGAGCAGCGGGCGAGATAGGAGAAGTCTGTTGTGCCATGTGGGTCAGCTCCCTGGCCAGGAATCGAACTCAGGCCAGGACACAATGGCTGACAATAGCTTGATAGCGCTGAGACTTTAACGCCTGCACCACCAGGGAGGTCCCGGCATTTTTAATCTTTAAAAAGTAAAGTAATTATGTTTTTGGACACCCTGTCGAAGTGTGTTAGGCAGTTAATAAAAATATTATCGTTATGTTCATAATGTTTGTGGGCTTTCTTAATTTTTAAAAATATCACTTTTGATAGGCTGCAGATAGTATAATTTACCAAAAAGGATATCCAAAAAGCCAGCAGACATGAAAAAACATTCATCCTTGCTTCCAGTAAGAGATGCATGTTAAAACCACAATGAGATACCATCTCATAAAAAGACCTCCAACAAATGCTGAAGAGGATGCAGAGAAAAAGGAACCCCATTACACTGTTGGTGGGAATGTAAACTGATGCAACCATTATGGAAAGCAATCTGGATTTACCTTAAAAAACTAAAAGTGAAAATACTGTACAGCCCAGCAACCTCCTGCCCTCTCCCCTCCCTGGCCATATAGCCAAATAGGAAACCATCAACATAAAATCCATATATTCCACAATGTTTACAGCAGCATTTTTATAGTAGTTATTATTTTTTAAAGATTTGCTTATTTATGTATACAAGAACTGGGGTACAGGCCAGAGGTGTGTGGGGATGACAGGATTCACCAGTGCCACGGACCAGCATAGCAGTAGATGAGGAGGCCGTCTCAGGGTTGAGAGACTGCGCAGGGTGGTCAGGGATTCAGTTAAAGAAATGACAAACAGACACACTTCAAGAGAGAGTGTAAATCTGAGTGCTCTTTATTTTAGTCAGTGGTCAGTATATATATGTTTTTTCTAAAGGCATAGGATCGGTGAACATCAAAGAAATTAGCTTGCTCATAGGTTTAGCTTATCATTGACAGGGCAGTGATTTATGTCCAAAATACATCTGGACCTAGCTGCATTCCTAAGTAGACAGGCTATTAACTCTTTATATTTTTGTTGTACTAACTACTACTACTATTACCTACTTATGTTTACTCATAATTAATTGTCATGGGTGAATTTATGTTATAATGCAGTTAATATCAAAGATACTAAAGTTAAGCACATAATAGAAAGATTATTAAACCAACAATTCTATTATAACACAGTGTTTAGTAATGTTTCATTTGCATTAGCCTAATTATTAAATTACGTATGTTTTTTATTTTTTTTTTTACGTATGTTTTTTAATTAGCAATCAATGACCAGAAAAAGGAAAGATTTTAGAAAGACAGTTGTAGCAGAATAAAGTTTGTGGGCCTTGAGAAAGCGAGATAAGGTTCCAGGTGGTCAGCATTTCTTTTAATCATCTCTGTGGCGGCTTCTGAGGTTAAAGGGGATGGGGGAGAACATACAAGAGGATATAAGTGCTAGTGGTGAGAAAAAATTAGAGTTGACTACTGAAAAGAAAAATATTAGAGAAAATTTGGAAACCAAAAAAAAATTACGAATTAAAAAAAAAAACAACGGAGGAAAAAAGTGCCTTAGCAAAGGCCCAGGACAAGGTGGTGATCTCTTCAAGTTGGCTGTCTTGACAGTCATTAAAAAATAAAAAAATTGGGCCTCCCTGGTGGCGCAAGGGGTTAAGAAGCAACCTCCGAAGCTGTCCTCAGCCACTGCAGCACCAGTTCGATCCCCCACTGGGGAGCTACCCACATGGCGCGGCAGACCTCTCCTGACTCGCCCGCTGCTCCCCTCAGCAGGGTATTTCAGTCAGTCTGCCTGTTCTGTTCCCCACTCTGGTGAATCCTCTCACCCCTCCCCCGCACCTCTAGCCTGCACCCCAGCTCTTGTGTGCATAAACCTTTAAAAAAAAATTCACTTGTAATTTCTCATTCTAAATATGTACTCACTTTCCTTTCTGCTCGTGATTAAATTTTTTTTCCTTAATGCGGGCCTCACAAATTGTATGAGCTTCAGTTCCCGCAAAACCAGACTCCGCCCTTTACACCAACCTCAGAAGTCATGTCTCTCTGCACACTCAGTTTCCCCTGTTTAAAGCGGCAGCTGCCCCGCATCACCCCGGTTGCTGTGAAGCCCAAACCAAAGCCCGGGGGCGAAGACTCCGGACAACCGCCCTCGCACAGAGGTGGAGGGTCTGTGACGTGGCCGGCAGCCCCCTCGCCTGCGGCCACTCACCCCGCACGCCCGCCGCGGGAGCCTGGGCCCGGCCCCCGCCCGCCGCCGAAAGCCGCGGGTGGCGACAGGCGGGGACGCGGCCCCCGGGGCGCAGCCCGCGTCCTCCCGAGGAGCGGGGACCCCGCGGGCCGGGGGGAGGGCGGGGCGCGCGGGCGCGCGGGCGCCGGGGGCGTGGCGGGTGGTCGCGGAGGGGCGGGGCGCCAGGTCCCGGCCCTTCTCCCCGAGCGCTCGCGCCTCCTCAGCGGCGGAAGTTCCGGTGTCGGCGAGCGGAGGTCAGAGGTCAGCAGGAAGTCGATACGTGGCCGCCGCCTGTCCCCGCCGAGGAGGCGCAGCAGCCGGAGATGGCGGCGGTGCTGAACGCAGAGCGGCTCGAGGTCTCCGTCGACGGCCTCACGCTCAGCCCGGACCCGGAGGAGCGGCCGGGCGCGGAGGGTGCGCCCCTGCCGCCGCCGCCGCTGCCGCCGCCGCCTCCCGCCGGGGCCGCTCGGGGCCCGGGCGCCGCGGGGGAGCAGCCCGAGCCCGGGGAGGCGGCGGCTGGGGGCGCGGCGGAGGAGGCGCGGCGGCTGGAGCAGCGCTGGGGCTTCGGCCTGGAGGAGCTGTACGGCCTGGCGCTGCGCTTCTTCAAAGGTGAGCGGGGCCGGCCGCGACGCCGCCGCCTCTGCCGGGCGTTGGGCGCCCCGCCTGGCTGCGGCCCCCAGGCTGACTGGACGGGTCTCGCCCAAACCCAGGCTTGCTGGGCCGCGGCTGCCACAGCGCAGCCCCGTCCTTGTGGGTACCGAAGTTTGTCACTGCCAGCCTGGGCTCTAGGTCACACCCCTGTGGGACCTGGAACCTTGGTGTCGCCTTCCCGAGGTCACCCGGCGTTTTGCCTGACTTAGCTTCTCGGGGTTTCCCGAGCCAGGGTGAAGGGGAGCTCTCGCCCAGAGGATCCCATCCTGGGGCGGTGGTTTCTTCTTCTTCTTCCCATCGCTTTCCTTTTTCCTGGTTCCTGTGGCTTGGCATACCACACCCCGCCGCTTTCTACCGTTTCCATAATGGAAGAATTCTTCCCACAGGTTCCACGTATCTCCTTTCCATTCATTCTGGGAAACCTTAAACTCCAATAGGGGGAATCACCTGGCAGCTTCGATGTGGCGGAGAGGAGAAAGTATTTAGCTAACACTGCCCCTCTAGCTTGTCTAGCTTCTCTGAAGAGAAGGGCTACCTTGTCTTTTTAGGCATCCCTCAAGGATGAAAATAACTTGGGATTCTGGAACCCTGTTTCTCATTCCATCCCTGTCACAGTGCTCTTGACCCAGTGACTGAACCCATTGTGTCAACTATGTACTCTTAATTTTAGAAAGGTAAAAGTAAAAATAATAGCTGAAAAAAAATTTACCGTTTAAACTTCAGATGTTGTTGGACCCTTATTGTGGATAACATTTTATATTAGGTTACCACTATAAACGAGTAGTACAATCCCTTTAGTTATTAACAACCTAAAGAGGGGTTAAATACCCAGTGATACCTTCTATGTTCTATTTTCTTCCAGATGGTTAGAATTTTATCTTGTAAGCGATGTGTGCTAGAGGTACTTCTCAGAATAAGGCTTAAAAGTATCCTTTGGGCTTCTTGAACTAATGGTAAAATGTCTCACAGCAAGATTGTGTGTGTTGATTGGGTGTTTCATTTAGTCAAATGGTAGTGATGTTGGTTGTCCCTGGGGAAGGCTCTTGAGAAGTCCTTCAGATTGATTCTTAAAGGTATTTGCATGTCCTGGGGTGGATAGGCAAGAAGAGACATTGGCAAATGAAACTTTGAAAGTGGTTTCTAGGATCCATATACATTCCAGAACAGCATATTTATGACCCTTTTCCCACAGGGAGTACCTTTTTGGATCACATATTTTACTTGCTGAAGTGGAATAATTCAGCATAATGACATGTGAAATGTTTTTTCTCCAGATAACTTTAATTGTGCAGTAGTGAAAGCCAACTAAATTTTCAGAACATTTGATCATTCCACATGCATCATGTTTTTTTTTTATCAATAGGTTTACCCTTGAAGTATTGCTTGTTATTTTAGTGAGTTCTGTACACTAGCTAACTTAAGGAATTGATAATGGCTGATGGGTTTTAGATCACTTTACCCTTAGGTTACTGGCTTGAATTTAGAGTGTCCTGTGGTGATGATATACTACCACTTATATAAAAATCTGGTTGCTTCTGTGCAATTCATATAATTGCATTTTACCTTAAATTTTTTTCTTGGAACTTATTTTTCCAGTGTTCAATGAGATTAAAGTATATCATAGCAGAAGAGAGTTTAAGACAAGAAAAGAACCGACTTCCAAAAACATAAAACAACTTATGATCCTACTTTTGCCATGTGTCTAACAAAAAATAAGTGGGTAATATCTGTTGAACCCAACTTACTTCAGAATAATAGCAAATATATATGAAAGATTAAAATACTGATGTGCAGTAAACTTAGCATTGCTTTGGAAATCAGGAAATCCTGACTCCTATGGGCCGTGTAAACTCCTGAACAGCTAACTTTTCTATTGTCTTCCTCCACCCTCCATTCCCTCTTTACGTAGAGTCTGAAAGAGAGAAACAAAGAGAGCTGGATTAGATGAAATTTGATGTTTCATATTTAGTGGTCTAAACCTAGCATAATTTTAACATGTTTGTTGGGTGGTGGGACTCCTAGAGTCCTTCACTTGATTTCTGAAGCACTGAAAGCAATATCCAGGTACTTAAATGGAGAAATAGCAATGTCACAATTAAGAGCTAAAAGATCCTTGCTGCATAGATCATGACATAGTTAGCAAAAAGGAGGCTGTTAGTGTAGGAGAGGCCTAATGGAGGGGAAAAAAGGGATCTAAAAGCAGTCAGAAGACTTAGTGGTGAGTCAAGTGTTGCTGCCTTTGTTTTAATGTGTGAGTTTTTCCACTGTAACACTTGGCATTTTTATCAGTCTTATCAGGACATCTACTGTTTTGTAAGTATCTCATAAGAACTTGATATAACATCTGCTGTAGAATAAATATAAATCTTGAAAGCATAGATATTATTTTCCTTTGAAAATAACTTGGATTGGGATTCAGGAACCCTCTTTTCTTACTCTATCCCTATCACGGTGCCCTTGGGCTAGTGACTGAACCCATTATGCCAACTATGTCCCTCTTAATTTTATGAAGGTAAAAATAAAATAGATGAAAATATGGTGAATATAAATTAGTATTTTACCCTCTAAACTTCATGTATTGTTGATTCCTTATTAAGGGTAACATTTATATTAGGTTACCACTATACAAGAATGCTACCTTCTTTTTTTTTTAAGATTTATTTATTTATGCATACAAGAACTGGGGTACAGGCCAGAGGTGCGGGGTTGGATGAGAGTATTCACCAAAGACAGTGGGAAACAGAACAGGAGGATTGACTGAAATACACTGCTGAGGGGAGTAGCTGGCGAAACAGAAGAGGTCTGCTGTGCCATGTGGGTAGCTCCCTGGCTGGCCCAGGATTGAACTCATGCTGCGTCTTAACCTCTTGCACCGCCAGGGAGGCCCCTCTTCTTATTATTAAGGAATCAAAAGAGTTGTTAAATACCCAGTGATAATATAAGTGGAAGATTAAGGGAACAGATGCCATTCCAGAGAGGGAGGAAGAAATGGCAAATAAGAAGTGGTTCAGTGGAGAGAGCTGGAAAGTTAGGTTTGTGGCTGATTTGAGGAAGGACTTTGAATGCTATTATAAATAACTTTTTTATTAGTAGACAGTCAGGACCCATTGAAGGTTTTTTTTTAATTTATTTATGCATACAAGAATTGGGGTGTAGGCTAGAAGTGCAGGGGGTGAGGAGATTCACCAGAGACAAGAGTGGGGAGCAGAACAGGTAAATGTACAGAAATACACTGCTGAGGGGAGCGGCAGGCGAGACAGGAGAGGTCTGCGTGCCATTTGAGTCAGCTCCCTAGCCAGGGATTGAACTGATGTCGCAGTGGCTGGCCGTAGCTTGATAGCACTGTGTGTTTAACCCCTGCATCACCAGGGAGACCCCCATTGAAGGTTTTTAAGGGGAAGAACAAAGTTGCCCAATTTTAGGATAGGCAAGATTAAATTTTTTTCTTACCTCTCTGGCTTAAGTGCTAACCTGATAACCTTTACTTTTTTTTTTTTTTTTTTAATTATTTATGCATACAAGATCTGAGGTATAGGCAGAGGTGCAGGCCCAGGGAGTGAGAGGATTCACCAGAGACAGAGTGGGTAACAGAACAGACAGACTGACTGAAATACACTGCTGAGGGGAGTAGCGGGTGAGTCAGGAGAGGTCTACTGTGCCATGTGGGTAGCTCCCTGGCTGGGATTGAACTCGTGCTGCAGTGGCTGTGGATAGCTTCATAGGTTGTGTCTTAACCCCTTGCACTACCAGGTCCAACCTTTACTTCTTGAATGGAGTTAATCTTAGGAGTTGTATTTTGGTTTTTAGAATTCTTGGTGAATTTTTCCTTCTCTAATACTTCATCACTTCTTTACAGTAAGCTGGTAGAGAGACATCTTAATATAAAATTCCAGAATAATAATTGCCACAAGTTATCAAGCAGATTTTGACTGAAAAAGCTACTATTTTGAGAGTTATATGTATACTGTCCTGAGGTACTGTCCTCACTGAAGGGTTTATTAGTTGAGGAACTTTCCCCAGACCACTCAGTTACTACCAGTAAGAAGCAGGGTTGGTTTTCTGTCTGTCTGAGGCCAATGACAGTTTTTCCCACTACAGGAGATGGAAAGCAAATAGGAACCCTGCTTTCAGATGGTGCTATGAGAAAAATACTTAAACCCACCTACTCTGTTACCTTAATCACGTTTTAGAAATTCTTTCAGATATTTGCTTAAAAATATTTAGGGCCAGTGGAATGATTCATGTTGTTTTTCTACATGTTAGAAAAACACTTATTGAGAGTCTCTTTAGAAAACTGGAGAAGTAAAATGTGAGAGAACCATCTACTCTGAATTCCTTCTGTCAAAAGTTCAGAGATAATCAAACCAGTGACTCAGTGAAGTAGTAATTAGTAAAAGTTTCAGTGCACGCACTACAAGGACAGTTTGCAAACTGGTAGCTCTGAAACCAAAACCTGGAAGGAAACTCACAGGTGTATTGTGACAAAGCAGTGACTGTTCTTCACAGCCATTGGTTATGATATAATTTCCTTAACTGATAAGGAATTGGTTAGTGATTACCTCATATCAATTTTGGGGAACTGTTCGTTTTCCTTGTGATTTCCAAGAAATACGTCTTCCAAAATAAGCTAAATTAAACTTGTATAATAAACTGGTTTTGTCTCCTTAAGGCTGGTCTCCCTTTTTTAAAAGATTGACTTATTTATGCATATAAGAGCTATTTATACATACAAGATTCATTTATTTATGTATATGTAGGCCTGAGGTGCTGGTGGTGGGGAGGGTGAGAGGATTCACCAGAGACAGAGTGGGGAACAGAACAGGCAGAGCTACTGAAATACACTGCTGAGGGGAGCAGTGGGCGATGCAGGAGAGGTCTGCCGAGCCATGTAGGTCACCTCTCTGGCTGGCCAGGGAATTGAACTCGTGTTGCAGTGGCTGGTGACAGCTTGATAGTGC